GAGGGGCAGGGGGAGAGGAGCCTCGGAGCCCCCAGGCCGTGCCCTCGCTGCCGAGCATCACCCGGAGCGCGCTGAACCTCTCCGAGGTGTCACTGCTCCCCCCGTGTCTGCGTGGCCCGTGCCTGCCCCGCTCCCCTGCCAGGGCAGCTTCAGTGCCCGGCGTGATGAATGAGGATGGGGCACCCCGATCACTCAGAGGTCACCATCCCAGCCCTTCCTCCCACCGGGAGATGCAGGTGCTGTTGCTGCCCACGGCGGCCGAGCAGGGCATCACTGGTGACCCTTGGCCCCCGGCGCCCTGAGCAGCTTTTCTATGACTGCGGGTTTGGCCAAAGTGGTGGCAGAGGGAGTGGATTTGGATCTTTCCAAAAGCTGCCAGCTCTCCAAGAGCTCCGGAGGCGGCAGGAGATCAGGTCTCAAATCTCAGGTACGTATTTGCCCAAATAATGTGTTTGCAGTTGCTTTTATTGTCCCGCTCAACCTCAGCGTCTTCCTGACCCCAGGGGCTGGGGAGTCTTGTAGCTTTTCCTAACAGGAAAATTAACAGAAAAAATTGCAGTTTTGTTTTCCCTCATTAGGGGGCAGTAACAGACCCAGATGGGGCCGAGAGCGATGCCCAAGAAAAATGGGAGCCCTTTGAAAGGGGAAATTACGAGGGTGCACATCCCCACTGCCGGGGTGGGGCAACAGTACCTGGCTGGACACCAGTCCTTCACCTCTCTGTTCCCAGCAAGGCTCAGCATTCACATGCTGCGTGGTGAACACAGGGAAACAAAACAAGGCCCACACATTTATTGTCAAAAAACCTCAAACTTTACTTGCGTTTCTCTCAATAAATAATTTACAGTATATACACCCGGTGACACTCCCGTGGGTCTCAATGCAGGGAGGTGGGGGGGCCTTCTCACAAGGCCCCCCGCTTGCCTACTTTTTTTTTATTATTATTATTTGTTTCCAAGTATCGGGTCTTTCTTGGCCACACTTCACCTTTAACCAGAACTGGGTCAAACACAACCAAAATAAAGTGCTTCACTGTTTGCTTCTAAAATAGGGATACCCCAACCACTGTCCAACAGCCACCACTGGAGCGCTCACCTGGACAGTGGGACTGAGACATGCCAGCATCAAGCAGACTTTCCTCAGCTGGAAATTACTCCTAAACCACAGCAGATTGTGCCATAGGGTGGTGGCCTTATAGGAAAGAGAGGTCTTAAGGGAAGTACTGATTCCTTGGCACGCTGTGGCTTGGCCAGCTAAGACTGCTTTCAAGAAGCTCCATGTCTCTTGCGGGATGCTTTGCACAGCTGCTGTTATCTGTGGGGTAACACAGCAAGAAACAAATGTTTCCTCTTACCCAGTGACAAATTTTGGTTTTCAAAACTTGCATTTTCAATTTTTAAGGAAGACAAAAACTTGGTTCTTTTCTTGAACAAAGGAAACAAGAAGTCCAAGTCACCCTGGCTGAGCAGTTAGTGCATTGGGAAACTAAACTGTCCTGAGCTGCGGTCCAGTGGTTGCTCTCCTCAGTGCCTCCAAACTGTGATATCCTTATTTCAAAATCTCCCTAAACAGCATAACTGGGGCACCAGCAAACAACGCAAGGAGCAAAGTAGTAAACACATATTTTTGTTTCTTTCCTTAAACATTTAAAAACCAATTACATCTCTTCATCTGTACAGTCACACGAGATCAATGCCAGGGCTCTATATATTAAAGAGACAATATAAATTACATCCATTGACACAGTTTTGCATTTCTCTGCTGCTTTACAAATGGAGCTCTAGAGCTGTTAGGACACAATGAATAGTCACATTGAGTATTTACACCAGGCTGCCTCTTGGCACCGGTTCAGACTGCCAAACATAGCCTGCTCCCACCTCTTTTGGTGCTAGCTTGTCTCATCATGCCCAGAGACCTCCCTTGAGAGCAGGACGTGCCCCCAAGAGTGACAAGTGCTTTGGGGCTTGTTTCTGGGAACCTCCCCCTGAGGAAAGGAGGGGAAACCCACCAGCATGTCTCCAAGACACAGGCCAAAGGTGGTCCTGCTGTTTGTTCAGCAACAATGAGGTGAACCACAGAGGAATAAGGAGAGGAGAAGATGGGCAGCACTATATGGTGGGGGAAAGGAAATTATCGATGTTTTTGAGGCAGGGAACAGACATTTGGAGGCAGCTGGGGGGGGTCCTCTGCTGCATCCCATTTCCTGGCTGGATTTCTAACATTGCCCCATTTTGATTCAAGCCCGTGAGGGCTTAAGGTGCAACTGGTCTGCAATGGGGTTGCAAGTCACGGCCCCAGGATGAGAAGCGGAGCAGAGACCTAGCAGCAAACAAACAGAGCACAACGCTCCTGCTCCATCCCAGGGCCCGGCCGAGCTGTGGGCAGGCGAGTGGGTGCAGGGCTGGAGGGAGGTGTGGATCAGCTCTCCCACCAAGCAGTCTCCCTGCTGCCAGTTTTAGGGGACCAGAGAGCAAGTGGTGCAAGGAACACATCCAATGCTGGGCAGAAGTTGCAGAAACCGCTTCAATACTGGCCCAGTTTCTCCCACTGCCATCAAGAGTCCCCGGCGGCTCCAGGCAGAGACAAGGGAGCCAGGAATAAAATTACTGAGTGAATCAGCCGAATGAACTGGCTAAAATAGGAGATGCCCTTTGAACCAGAGCAAATACAGGCCAAGGCTTGAGGAACACGTCCTCCTTCCACCCAGAAGATGTCTGGCACTGGCATCTGGGCAAACGTGGGACCATTCCCCACCATTCTGGCCCCGTGCACCACTTTCTGCAACAAAGGGGCTGCAGGAAGAGCAGGATCTGCCTGAAAAGCAGGGCACAGCCCCAGCCAGCAGAGAGCACAGTCCCGTTGGGCTGGCCAAGCTTGGCCCAGTCTTGCTGCTCTCTGTCCTCCCTGCAGGCTCTGCTCTCCAAAGACAAAGCCGTATTCATGCACGCCAATGTCACAGTCACCATGTGCATTTTTGGGACCTGGGGGAGCACTGCAAGGAGGTGGGGGCTCTTTGGCACCCACGCTACTGGGAGAAGGAGAGGTGAGGAAGGTCCAGGCAAGGTACAGTCCAGCAAAAACTCCTGACTGGTCTTGTTGGCAGCACATTCCTCCCAGGCAAGAACTGGTAAGGTGGAGGAACAGGTGCTGAAGAGAGGGGCCAAGGTTTCAGGACAACCCATGTGGCTCTGATATCCAACCTCCCATAGTACAGCACTGCCAGCTCATCCCTGGTTTCCTCCTGCTCCCCCTTCCCCGTGCTCCACGGTGTGAAGGAGCAAACCTCTATAAGAAGCACAACCAGCATTGACTCAAACACAGCAGTGCTACCCAGAGGGCAGAGGGGATCCCCGAGGGAGCCATGTTGCCTGGGGCCAGGTCCCTTGTCCTTTCATAGAGGTGCAGCTTGTCTTTGTTGGAGTGAAGCATCTTCACATCCTCAAAGGCATAGTAAGCAGCCAGCATGAAGTTGACATCCCCCGTGGTGAGGAGGTCAAAGACACAAGACTGAAAGTAGAGGTCCTCCACGGGCAGCTTTTCCCTGCACTTGGCTGTGGCTGTTTCATACGTGAAGGCCTCAGGAGGGGCTGGCAGGCTGGGCCCCTTCCTACGAGCACGACCCTCTGTGGCCTGAGCTGAGCGGACGGTCTGGAAGTCAATCTGTTGGTTGAGTGGACAACCACGGAGGCACAGGTAGAGGCCCTGACTGTCCCGGTCCTCTACGGCATTGACCACCTCCTCTGGCATGCGCACGGCAAAGGTGAGGTACCGGCCCACCTGCCTCACCACGATGGTGGTGCCAATGTACTTTGCCTGAATCTCAATGTGTTGGCCTGACACCTTCTCAGTGATCTTCAGGCTGTTGGCTCCGTGCTTGTCCCCACCATTCTTGGAGCCGTCAGCAAAGGCAGCGGGGAGCTCGTCCATCTCTGCTTGGTATACTTTCTGGTCCACACACTCCTGGAAGCTCTTGAAGATGATGGTGAGCTGAGGGGGAGGAAAGAAAGGAACACGGTTACAACCAGTGATGACCACCTGACAGCACATGGCCATCACCAACCAGGAGCAGGACAGGAGGTGGAGAAGCCATCTGCTCAGCCAGGTTGGGAATGTGGCCTTCAGCTTATGAGCTGGTATTCCATCCTAAGAAGTTGCCCCAACTTTTAGGCACCCAAACATGGCCACCATGCTTCAGCACAGGGATGAGGACACTATGTATGGAGTCAAGACCCAGAGCTGGACTGAACTGGATCTGTGCTGTTATCTCCCAGCACAACAGAGGAGCTGGAGCTGGGTGGAGGATTACTCCTCACAGGCCTGTGGTAGCATGCCCGTGCATGCAGAACTGTCTTGCCCCCAGGGCCTGGCAGATGGCAGAAAAGGGAGAGTCCTGCCTCTCTTAGAGGTGATGAAGCTTCTCCTCTGGCTCCCATGGCATTTACATCCCAAGGGCCTTTTCCTTTCCCTGGCTACTCAAAGACTGACAGAGGCTTCTCCTCTGGGCCACAGGACTTGTTGTGCTCCATCTGAACCACACAGAAACACACGTTCAGCGTGTTTGAGTGGGCAGGCCCTTCTAGAGGTGGCACGGGCATATACTGAGCCTAGCATGGTTCCCCACCCTTGGCTGGGCTCAAACACAGTCCCTTGTTCAAGCAAGGACCTCACAGGATTTGCTTTTCCCTTGCTGACCTGGCTTTGGCAGAAAGCTTGATGAGGAGGAGGAAGAATAGAGTTTGCATGGAAGGAAGAGCAAGTTGCTCTTCTTCCCACAGCAAATACGCTTCCTCTTTCACCACTTGCAGGCTTGCTCTTCCTTTTGTACCTCTTTCCATGAGGGAGGAGTGGTAAGAGGGACCTCCTGCTATGTGGCCCCCATGACTGAGACCTGGCTAGAGTGGGGCAGGGCTGGAGAAGAGATGGCTCCAGCAGCCTCAGAGCAGGTACACCTGAGGGCTGATTATGAAGGGAGGAACTAAGGCTCCTCAAAGACTGGGCTGAACACGCTGGTGGCTTCCAGCACCTCTGCTCCCAGTGGTGCTAGTGAGGTGCCCAGAGCTGTCCAGGGCCCTGGCAATATCCCTGTCTCCCATCCACTTCTCTGCTGAGTGCCCAGATGCTCTCAGCCCCATGGCAGCCCTACTATCCACTCCTCAGCCATGTCCGGAGGCACCACCATGCCCAGGGTTTCAGGTTGCACTAACCCTTGCATGAACCTCCTGCTACCTTCTCTGGGTCCAGCCCTGCCTCTGGCTAGAGGAAGAAGGGTAGACCAGAGAACATCATGAAAAAACACAAAGAGCTCCATGGATCGACAGGATGCCATCCTTTCCAACAGCACATGGTCCTCTAGCAATGACCCAGTAATGCCTTCCACAGCTCATGCTGCAGATCTCATGACTAATCCTTCCTCACCACAAGCCTGTGAGGCAGATAAGGGGTGAAAAGGCTCAATTAAGATGATGTTCCTGAGATCCAGCTTTGAAATGGCAGTCCCTGAGGTCTTTTAAGTACCACTTTCCTCAAGTCAGACTTCTTTGCAAGTTTCAGCAGGTTTTGATGTCTTTTGGTAGGTAAGGAATTCAGAGCAACATAAAGTATCTTTGAGGAGGCTTATTAGGGACAGGTCAAAACCAAAGTTCCCACTCAGACTAGAAGGTAACTGTACATGTGCTTTTCTCCTCTCCCCACATGCAGGGAGAAGCAGAATTTCCAGAGATGGTGGGACAGGATATCTTCCAAAAGCAAGAGGCTGCCTCCTGCTGAGCCTCCCTTTTTTTGGCACATGAAGTGGCCCATTAGCTTTAAAGCTTGTGCACCATGGAGCAACGTAACAGTTTATCAGCTCCAGGACTCTCCTAAATCTAAGGCCATGCCATACAAGTCCTGCTGTATCACAGCAGCAGATTTTTCACTTGGGTTTTCTCAGTGCTTGCCTTCAGGATGCTTATTTAGGCTGTCAAAGCACCTCCAGAACAGTCTGCCCCATAAAATGCCTTGACTTGGCTGCACACACCACAGAGACAATTAGGAGCCTGGGCAGAGAGGAAAGGAAGGCAGTGCAAGTTGCTCAGGTCCCTCCAGGCTTTTCCCTGCAAGATGAAGCCTCCCTTGGAGAGAGGTCCTGGGTTTGCTTGGACCTTGGGTGTTCCCCAAAACATGCCACCATCATTCCTGGTCTGGCTGTTCACAGCAACCTGGAGTCCTCCCAGGCACGATCAATTTGCCCCCCACTCTGGCCACGTTGGCCCTTGATCCTGCCAACCATGATGGGGCTGGACGTGCTCAGAAAGAAACCACAACAGGCCATTTAAGCGAAGGTGGGGACAAAGGAGGGATAGAAATCTGATATTTACCACCAAACGCTCAAATTCAGAGGACCCCCCACCCGAACTCACTCTCCCCAAGGAGTTGTGCAGACGGTGGAGCAGAGAGACAGTGGAAAGAAATGCTGCTCAGAGGCACCTCTGCCCTTGGCCACCTCTGCTCACGGGGACGTGCCCAAGGCTCACCTTGCTGGTGGCGGTAGCTGTGGAGCCAGGAAGCACCGGCGTGTTGGTGACTTGGACATTCAGGTAGTTATTGTCTATGAGCGGCCAAGCCCCTTGCACCCTGCAGGTTTGGAAAGTGTCTGTGAAAGTCCTGAGGTGAGGGTCTCCAAAGAGCCCACAGTGGGTGTAGTTGGGGGCGGCCGAGTGTTTGTGAAAGCTCTTCTCGTAGTGGCAGATTTCGGGGCTGTCGGAGCGCTCCTGGCTGTCCCCGGGGGGCAACGTCCGCAGGCGGGGCTGGGAGGTGGGGCCATCCTTGGAGCAGTTGTGTTGCCCCATGAGATCCTCTATGCCATGCACGGCAGAGTGGTAGGCCAGGTCGCCCCTGCAGGTGCGGGCGGTGCGGCGGGTGCAGTGCGCGTAGGCACGCAGCGCCGTGCAGAACTCGGGCGCCTCCTCCGCGCCCAGGTGGTGGGAGCCCGACGTGGCCGCCCAGAACTCAGAGTTGCACTTGAGGATCTTGCATGGAGACGTCACTGTGGGAAAGAAGGAAAAATACAAGTGGGTCAGTGCCTGCCTGTGGGACATCCAGCTCTACCCCCAACAAGAAGTCGGTGTCCTCCTCTCGTAGCCCAAACTCATGATATTGGCTCTACCGCGTGACGGGGCCTCGCTCAACAGATATGACCCTCTCACATGACCCAACTCTCATGCATCAAAGCCAAAGAAACCAACAGGATCTGCCCCAATTTAAGCCAAGAGGGGAAAGAGCACCCAGCCTTTAGATTAATGCTCCTGGGGGAAAACCAGGGTGTGGAAGAATGGGACATATTCATTAGCAGTGATAAGGGAGGATCATCACTGTGATGGGAGATGCAAGGGGGGTTTTAATGCCTTTTTACAGCTTGACATTCAAAGATCTGTGCTGCAAGAATTACTGCGCATTGTGTCCAAACAAAGCTCTACCAGCATAAAAATGTGCCTTCCTTTTCCTCCTTCACAGAGACCCAGCCCTGGCATGGCTACTGTGCCCCAGACACCTGGGTGCACAGAGGTTATAGCAGGTTGGGGTGACCAACCCCACAGCAAAGCCAGCGCCCACCCCACCCTCCTCATGACTGCAGCAATGCTGAGAGTAGCGCTTGCCAGCATCCCCTCTTCCCCTGTAAAGAAGCAGGAGCCAAAAAACCTTCTTTTCCTGACTGCTGTTCAACTCTGCCCAGCCCTGGGAGACCGTTCCCCGCCACGGCCCACTGAGAGAGAACAAGAGGTGGAGGAGAAAAACCGGCACGGCAGGGTACAGGGATGCCAGCCGAGCCCCCGCCTTGCGCGGCCCACGCGGATGCAAAGCTGAAGGCAGCAGGGTCTTCGTGGGACTCAGCTGGAGCCCCAGAGCTTGCTGGCAAGACAAAAGAAGGCAAAGAAAACTCAGATCCATTTTTCCTCCCCCCAAACTCAACGTCAGCTCCCAGGACAGCATGGCTTCCCTGGAGCAGACGTGGAAGCAGCTGTGCAAAAAGCACATGGCCATCGTGAGCATCACACAGACACTACTCTGCCTGAGACAATCTGGAGACGTGCTGGGAGAACCCAGGCTTACACCACTTAAAAGTCATGGTGTTTTTCCTTCCTCTCCTCTTAATCAACCCCCTCAGAGGGCTTGGAGACAGGATCGGCTCAGGCACAAAAGGCAGGAGAAGAAAATCCCCACCATTTCCAGATGCTTTTGTGGTGCCTCTTGCAGGCATACACATATATTCCTGTCTCAGGGTTTGCTTAGAAGAAGGCTGGTAAGGCATCTGTGCCAAAAACATTTCAGATTTGTTTGAAAAGAAAGTTATAAACCCCAGTATTGTTTCAGGGAAAACAGTATGTTTTAGTTTTAAACATTGCAGTGCTGGAAACCTAAACATAGTTGGTGCTGGAAAATCAGAAAGGCTATAAAACACTAAGCAGTCCAGCTTTAAAATATAAGCCTGTCTCCTCTCCCTTTCCAAGAAGAGTGAAGTGCAAATAGGAAATGGTGACAGGTTCTTCACAGTTTTAAAATTCATGTTTAATAAACTCAGATGCTAGCAACAGCACTGAGAACCCAGGAGCTGTTTTGTGTTGGCAACATCCCATCTAACCTGCAAGAAGCACTGTGGAAAGCATTTTAACTCATCGCTGACCAGAGGTGACCTGATAAGAAGCCTTTGACATGGGACATAGGCTCATGTTTCTGCTAAGACAACTGCATTCATGGGTCAAATTTAAAAATCTTTATTCATTCACCTTCCTTTCTTTTCAGTCCCAAGAGTGTGATTTTTCCCCCTAAGGCCTTTGCTTACCAGTGGGCTTCCCATCCCAGCCACTGGCTTGCAATGGAGTGTACTGCTCAGCGTCCCTCCTAGACGAGAGACCTGATGCAAAGGATGTTGTTACCAGCATGCAGAACAGCCCAGCTCCCCAGTGCTGCCTGCCCTGGCTCTGGAGGCTACACATTCAGACCTGGCTGTTGCAATATGCACGGTGCCTAAACTCAAGAGGGAGAAGTAAAGGATAGGATTCAGCACAGGTGATCATAGTTGCAGTGAATTTACTGGCACAGGGAGTGCAGGCCAGGGGTGTTTCACAGAGATGGGCCTATCAGGGTGCAAAATAAGGAAAACACATCTCACTCCCTCTGACCAGAGCCTGCAAGCATAGCTTTGCAGATCCTCCAGGACCCTCCCAGTGGAAGGGAAAAGATCGTGCAAGAATGCGACCAGTGCCACCACTGCCAGTTATCCCAAACAGTTGTGGCATCAGGCAATTAAAGTCATTGCTCTCCTAGTAGTTATGCTAATGCACAGCTTAAGGATGCCTTGAGGTTGCATGTGGCCAAATGTGCTATCAGTGCAGGCAGACTTGCCAGCACAGCCCCAGGAGGAGCTGGAGGACACATCCCTGGACATGCAGGACCATCACACCCTGCTTCACCTCACAGCTTGGTAAGACAACGTTGCACTGTGCAAAGCACCCAGTCCCATGAGCATCCTGCACAGCCCAGGCTGCTCCAGCCCTTTGGCCACTGTGTAGATGGGAATTTTTTAGCA